TAGATGACCTTAGAGGTCCCTTCCAACCAAACTATTCTATGATTTTTACAGTTCTAAGCACCAATTTTTCCCAGGGAAACAAGTCAATGACCTCTATTAACTGGTGGTTCTAGTTGTACATTGTTCTAGGAACACTTTACAAGAAGTTTAAGAATTCCTTGAACACTCACTCATAGTGTACTAAAGGAACCAGCATAAAACAAAGGGGAAAAACATTTGGTTATGTTTGTTCTAGCAAAAAAAAAAAAGGCACCACTCAGCAAAATATTATTCCTTTAAATTTAAGACAGAAAGCACTTAGAGGATAAGGCCACTTATCTTGAATGGGGGTAGGGGAAAAGGAAAGCAGCTCCCTTGATAGTTCAAACCATACACTGAAATTTGAACACCTGACTTAATCTGTTCCTATTGGTACTTCTGTAACAGCTAGAAGCTTAGAGGGCACAATTACAAACACACACCCCAAGAATAGAAGAGGACTGTTGCAGACCCACAGGTAGAGTACTGTCTTACAAGCAGTACCTCTAATATTGCACTACATCAGCAATACGTTGACTGACTGCAGCATACATCTTTACTGGACTATGTATTCAGAGGTTTTGAGAGAGTTTTTGTGATTTTAATTATGCTGCTAGTCCTAAACAGTTACTGTATGGATAAAGATACTTATTTTCAGCTCTGACATCGTATTTTACAGTAACATTTTTAAACTTAAAACCTGTCCTCCTCATTACTATACTTACTAGAGCCTCCCAACCTTAAGCTAAGAGAATAAACAACCCTTTTTTCATGTTTGTCTTGAGCACCAAGTACACAGAAGTTCACACTACTGGAAAAAAAAACAAATTTGAATTTATTCACAGTAGCTAAAGCCAGAACAGTCACTGGAGCAATACAAAGGCCTTCATAAACTCAGCTGGTGCCTTCTTTCTTTAAAAAACTTTCACTGTAAGTGTGTGTGTGTGTGTGTCCCCGGAAGTTTAAAGTGAAATTCACCTCAAACTTTAGAGTAGGAATAAAAAAAGTATGAAGTAAGAATCCATCTAGGTTGTAAAGCTACTTAAGCTTTTTCCTAAGATGCATGTTTCACCTGAAGAAGCCCTGATACTTACTCTTTATAGCCTGGATTTTTTTTTTTTTTTTAAGTTTTTTTTTTTTTTTTTTTTTTACTTTCTCAGCTACATTGAAAGTGGCAGACGTTAAAGCTTTTATACAACATCTATCCTAAAATACTGGTTTACCAAGTCATTCCTGCAAGGAGTATAGACTGTATAACCTGTTAGAGACTTTAAAAAAACCTGTTCCATTAAGGCACGCAAAAGAAAACCCTGCTGAAATACAATTAAGGGAAAATCCTTTTGTTTCTTTGTAGCATTCAAGGCTCAGATCACCTTCATGTAAGACAAAATTTAGCATCTTGGTTTAGCACACAAATACCCAGAAGGAAAAAAATATTTCCATTTGACAGGGAATTAGTGTCTGTGCCAGACAATCATTCTAATGGAGATCCAACAATACCATCTGGCTGGCTGTCTCATTCCAAGAATAATTCTGTCAGGTGGCAAAGCTTGTGAAAAGAGTACGAAAAGGCCACAGCACCAAGCAGCTCACTGGGACACTTCAGGTAAACAAGTGTCATAGCTCTGTAATACTAAGTAAATGCAAGCATTGTATTTTTCTAATCTTGTCTAAACAATTGTTTCTTTTGACAAAAAGCTGTCTTACTATTTAAAGGAGACTTACATGCTTAAGTCCCACACAGAATATATGTACTCTGTGCAAGCAAAGGCAGATCCACAAGAACTCACTACTGCCTACTAGTTCACGATTAACACAGTCCACTTGATTTGATAATACAAAAGATACAAATTTGCAAGAAGCTCCAATTGTGCACCTATTTTGGAAATGCCTTCAGCTACAGCCATATTAAACAGATGTTTCAACTTTCTGAATGCAACACAAAAGAGATTTACCTACTGTTTTTGTGTTATGCTTATAGGGTACTTCAAAAGAACATTAAAAATGCATGTTCTTAGTTATAACTTGTTACTTTTACTGGCATATGCCACAAAATGTAAAATTCCCAGATGGGAATAAAAAAATTAAGTTTCCTACGGGTGAGAAATGGCTAACAAAACCAGCACAACATGATCTAATGGAAGAGAAAATAAACGGCACTCGTAAGGCCTGGGCTATGCATTTCACTGTGATAAGCCTTCTCAGCATGCTTGTAAGAACTGTTCATATCTAGCACCACCATTTCAAACATACTGAACAATCAACTTGGCTCACCAGATGGTCCTATGGGTAACACTTGGTCAAATAAACATAAAATATGCACTCTATGTACATATCTTCTGTTTTATCTCTTCTTTTGGTGTTGAAACTCTTCAATGAGAACTACACATAGACACTTTGTTTTCTTATAGCTACAGCATAAAGCCTCAAATACATCCCAGGGCAATCAAGCCAACTAGAACATTAAGCCAAAATGAAATCTGCATTTGCAAAGAAACAACTACCTTTATCAATAAACTGACATCACAGCTTTAACAGCCCAAGTAGGCTGTTTAGGTACTTAAAGTTGCAAAGAAAAGGGTCCTGATATTCAGAAAACTCCAGATTTTTTTTTTTTTAAATACTGGGTTTAACTGTGCAAGATTTAAAAAAAAACTTAGAAAGAAGCTGGTAACACAGAAGTGAAGTATAATCAAGCTACTGTCTTTAAAACAGTACTCTGAGAAAACCATGGCAAATTGATATTACAGGAACACTTAACAGTATCTTTAGTGACATGGAACAGCCTGAGCAGAGACAAGATTAACAGCTTTGCTTTTTCGGGTCAATTTATCCTATCAGAACATTGGTACAATTCTGCATCAAGCAGCTCCAAAACCTATAACCATTCCTATTCCCCCCCCACCCCACCTTAATAAAATTCCATCCAGAACACTCCCCAGAAGCAGCACTTGGACATTTTTCATGCTGTAGCCATATTCCCTTAAGTGTCCAGGTCTGTAGCAACTCAGTTCCCTTGTCATTATACAATTCACTAACATCCACTTCTGGGTAAGTCTTTTCCTAGCCATTACTACTTCTAAACCTTCTGGAAATTTGAAGCAGGACATGCAATCCTATTCAAACTCATGTATACACCCTCAATGAGAGAGGTATAATTTCCTTTTTAGTCTGGAGAGATTGAGGTGTTGGGAGTAGAAGGAGAAAAGCAGAATAGAACACAACATACACACAAGACTGAATACAGTTCAAAGTTCTACTCTTTCAAAACTGCAGCTAATAACTACTACAAAATGAAGTTTGTTACTACGAATCTGTGGTAACTGGAATTCTCCAGTTAATAAATCTTCAATAGCTTCCACAAATCTTTATTATGCTGTATGTCTTTCTCAAGGTAGCTTAAAATTAACTCTAGTATTATACTAGCATGTCACTAGAAGTTTGGGAAGCCAAGTCAAAATAAAAATTTATTTTAATTGTTTCAAAACACACGACTAAAATTTACATAATTATTAAAATAGGCTTACAGATATTCTTTGATTAACAGTTTACATCACATAACAAAGGCACATTTTAAATGCAGTATTTTCTCACAATTTCAACATACAGGTATTGCTAAAATTTTTCAAGTAAAAAAGCAAACTCTACTGAGTAGCTAATACAGCTAATTACATTCTTGCATCTTAAGTTACACATAGAAATTTTAGGATTCTCTTAATTACTTTCCCAAAACTCATAGTGATGCTCAAGACTGCAGGTACATAAACTGTCATTAATGAACATAACCACATTGATTACATAGTCTAAAGACAACCAGGACTTAAAGGGCTTCAGTTGAGTTACAACTTGACATCTTCTGTTCCACTGATTAAGAGCTCAGTTTTAAAATACAGCCTCTTGGGCAAATAACTTCTTCCATTTTTAAACTGCAAGAGGTAACTAGTCAGTATTAGTCACTTAAATTGTGGTTTAAGAAAAACTAAGTGTAACATGCAAACTGTACCTTAAAGCTCAGAAGAAAATCCACATGCACCAAACAAGAAGTGTTTTTCCCATATAACCTCTTTAACATTCCAGTTAGTTATCAGGAGAAGCATGCAAACGATTAATAAAACCTGGATGTTTTGTCAACTCTTACAACTTTAAACTTCAAACTACTCAAGCAAAAACAACTGTATTGGAACAGGTAGAATAGGAACACAAACTTCAACTTGAAGCAACTTTTTGAAAAAGGTTAGCAATATATGCAGTATAAACTGAACTGTAGTAACATCAAGTTAATGAATTTAGATAAAGTCTTTGTTGATCAAACACTTTTGAGTACTGCTCTTCCTTTTCTGAAGTGATGCGCCTTCCTCTCCTGAAATGGGATAGGAGAAAAGACAGGAAAAAAATTTTCTAGATAATCAAAATAAAGCAACTAAAGTTTCATGAAAAGTATCCCAAGACATTCTGTACTCTATCCAACCCCCTCCAAAACTGATAAATACAGCTTCTGTATTCCTGCTTCAGAGTACATGTACCTAGTTCATATGTCTGTCCTTTTAAAAAAAGGAAGCAAAGTCTTAAATGTAACATTAATAAACAACAGAAATTAAACACCACTTGAAATGTAATCAGAAACTGCAATTCTACAAAGACTGTACACATACAGCAAAAATACAATGACCAGACACCAACCTGGACTACAGTTCATTGGTTAAAGTGTAGACATTTTACACAAACTATAAAGGGCCACCATCCACAGTGGGTACTTAACTGGTGTAAAGACCATAAAGGCTCAAACTCAACATCCTCTACCCATACTAGGGAGTAACCCCACTGCCCTTTCAGCAATGTCACTGAGAAGTGATTAGCCAGTCTTATGCTCTAAGCATCCATGAGTTAACTGTTCAGCATTTTTTATGCAGTCTTGTATTAAATCCACTGAATCCAACTTCAGCACTTGTTTCCAGTATTAAGCAACTGAGAGCCAAACCTATACATCTCAGAGCATGTACAAGAGAAAATTCAAATGGCATTCTTAATACCTTCATCTTTATGGCGTCCTGTAGGTGAACAAATTGAAGGTCAGCCATGTTTGAGGGATTTAATTTTGCTTTCACTACATACCTTAAAGTAGTCTTCCTGTGATACAAAGGTGTTCCTCAGACGGTTCTCAGGATTAAACAGACAGGATACTACTGTTTGTATGCTCCTGTCCACAGACTTCTGAAATACAGTTATAGGTGCATCCATAAACAATACTAATTTTCTTAGTTAGCCCACTACTAGCAATATGGGTGTGTCACAGGGTTTACTTAGCATTCAAGATTCCTCTGAACTGCCTTACATTTCCTGAGCTCTGTCTTTTTTTTTTTTTATCTGAACTGCTACATTTCCTGAGCTCTGTCTTTTTTTTTTTTTTAAATCTTTTATCTTGGTAACTCATTATAGATGTTACTTACAACATAACAGCTCTGACCGGTGACATATGACATAAGTAACTCATTATCACCCTTAGATGTTACTTACAACATAACAGCTCTGACCGGTGACATACCAGTTCAGTTTTGGAATAGGCTGACAGCTGGAAAATGAAGTCTCCTTAAGAAAACTGAATTCAGAGCCAACTGTTGGCTAAACTGGGGTCACCTTCCACAAAAGAAGGTGAAGAAGGGAGTAAAACATTACCAATTCAGATGTTTGAAGCTTAAAATAAATCTGCATAAGATAGCAGGCAGTTCTACCTAACCTGTTTTTTTAATACTTACAATTTCCCCTATAATTCTCAGCAGTTTAAGTAGAGCCTTCTAACTTAAAAACACTGTTGTACTTAATGAAGTAGAACACAGATTTTATACAGCCCTCAGCACTAAAGACAAGCACTAATAATTTCAAGGAAACGTGAGGCTTCTGAAGTTGTACACAGAAATCAGATACAGTGGATTGAGCAACTGGCTAAAGCAGCAAATATAACCTTAATTTCTAGGATACTGGTCAGAGGCCCTCTTCACCAAGCCACATAATCCTCACATGCAAATTTCTGGGAATAGGATTTATGACAAAAGACACTGAAGTTCTGAGAAAGCACTTACCTTTTGTGGACTGTTAGTAGACGACTGCGTGGGCTCTGGAACAGCACATTCTGTCTGTATAAATTCTGGATCCTCAGTGCAGTGATAGCTTACTGAAGTATAAACCTGTATAGTTTTTTTTAAATATTGCAGTTTCAGTAACACTGGGAAAATATGCACAGTTGTGTTGTCACTGGTCCTCACCTATCCATAAGCTATGCCAAATTTATCTTCACACATTTAGTAAAGTTTCACGAGTGGAGGAAATACTGTATCCTGATCTGTTTTAAGACAGTTCTACTCCCTTCCAAAAAGGATATATTCTAATAAATGTCTTTTCTCCCCACTGTAATCACTCTTGAGAGTTAGCTCCTCAACCTACTTCCTCCATGTATGGGTTTTGCCATCAAGCGTATTGAGCAACGAAGGCATTCACTGAGAATTCAAGACAACCAGCAGGTAACTTCAAGAGATTAAGCACTAAAATCAAATGAAAGAAGGGGAAACAAAACATCTACTACCACCGCCCTTCCAAGAAGTTGCTTTTCTCTCTACAGTTATTTCTTGTTTGAAGCTTCCTTCATGCTAATATACTCCATTTTTTAAGATGTAAAAAGGTCTAGAAAAACACGAGCCATTTTACAGCTTTTTTTTTTTTTTAAAACTCTCCCCACTTCCCTCTGCTTACAGTGCAGTGTTGCAATTGGCAACCCAGTGCAGAGTTTAATTACAATAGCAAAGAGGCTGATAAAGCAGTTACTCTTTACAGAAACACCCTTCCAGAGAGAATTAGCAGCTTTTACAGCCAATTTTACCAGGATCTCAACAGCAGGGTTAAGCATTCTCACTTTCCAGGGACAAAACTTTTTCTTCAAAGTAGTCAGATTTACCCAGGCTTGACAGTAGTTTTCAGTTTCTTGCAACATCATTCTTAAGGATGTTATTTGTGATTATACACAGCAACCACAACATGTACCACCCGACACTCCCAAAAGCCCTTGAACACTGACACTGTAATTTCAAGCTGATGATATTGGGAGATACGGAAGCCTACCGTGTTAGTAGACTATTCCCTTGACCACCATCCCTAACCATCAAAAGGCGTATCATATCTGACCTCATCACAACTGGGGCATTCCATTTATGAATGGAAATTGTGATTATCCACCAAACAAATAGGTAGGTATAAAGCAGTAGACTGAAGGATGAAGTTTCCTATCTCCTTATGTGCCTGTCCTCTTTTGAGTATGTAAAGAATGATACTTAAAGTTGCTTAACTGAGAATGTTCTAAAAAAAGTTGCTTGCTCATATAATCAAGCTTAAAATGTCTAATGAAAACCACCATGCACACCTCTCAAAACTCTTTGGCTTGCTACCATTTAATCGTTGAGTGATATACTGTGGCCGTATCATGTTCACGGATGTTTTGTTTCAAGCCAACAGGGTAATCAGTATTTCAGTGACTTCTGAACTCTTTCGAGTGTTTCTTCCCCCATTAAAGCAAAGGTAATTCTCACTAACAGAAATACAGACTTTCCATGAAAAGAAAAAGGCTGCTTCTCTGCTGAGAAGCTGAAAGTAAACACAGTACACACGACTGGAAATGAGCAGGAAAAAAGTATTCTTCTAATATGATCAGACAGAATTGTCAGATGCATGCAGGCAGCAATATATATATGCACAGAGTTCCATTTTCTTCATTTTTTCGCCATTTACCTTCCACACGTTCTACATTCTGCTGGGAATTAGCTTGAAAGAATACCATTCAGAAGAAAATTAAGTATTACAGCTTTTAAACACTTAATAGAAACTGTACTCAATAAATACAAGATTATACCCAAAGAACACAAAAATGCCTTCTAAGATGCAAGTTTAAAGTTCCAACACTGTTAAAGAAATACACAATATATTTTCCTCTCTTGTGGATGTCACTTGTGTAAAGTCACAGAAAGCAAGTAATTTCTTTAGAAGCCATCAGCACCATCTACAGTCTGTAGCAGCCTGGCAAATCATTTAAAAAATAAAACAACTGTTGAAAGGAGCCAAAAAAAAAAATCAGCATTTGCAGAGCAGAATATTTTGAGGCTTTTTAAATTTAAAAAAATTTGGAACAATAAGCAGTAATATTATACAGATCTTGTAAGCCAGGATTGTGCATCAGGTTACCACTTATTTTTCCTTCAACTTTTCATGAAAAGACAGTTCTGTTCATGCTAAAATTCAGAATTCTGTGACCAGAACATATGGAATAATGCCATAAAACAGATAGTTCTTTTCTGCCAGGCAGGTCCTAAAAAAAGCACCAAGTCAGTAGGAAATCCTAAACAATTACCTACTCCCATCAGCAGCTACAGATTTGTATAGACCAGATGACATAGATCCAGTCAACAAAACAAGAGTTTGATATTTTTTTTTTTAAGTATCAAGCTGTCAAAACAGTGTGCTAATTGAGAAGACAAAGTTCCAGAAGCTTAACTTTGTAGACTTACCGGAGGCATAACATAATTTCTTTGCTCCCCAGCAAGCCATTGTGGTTGAACCTTAAACAAGAATTGGACAAGAACCAGCTTGTATTCATTCATTTCCAACACAGGCAAGTAGCCGCTCTTTAAGAGCCATCATTTATAACATTTCATGTCTGGATTTTTCATTAAACAGTAGTTTACAGTCTTCTATCCAGCAAGATAGCTTTTTCACATGTACCTCATGTAGTGTTTGGCACAAGGTCATCCTTACCACAAACTCAACTACCTCCTTCCTCTTCTCATTCCAAGTTTTAAAAACATATTTAAAAAACAAGATTTCTAAAGATTAGGAAAATAAGGGGAATCACAGCAGCCACACTGAAAACATCTCAAACCTCTAGTTACTTCCAGTTACTAAACTACTTCTAGTTTATTTTCAGTAACAGGACTTACCCGCACATTTCACTTACGAGTTCAAAAATCACTATCAGCTAAGTGCCTTCCCAGACATTTTCAGAGCTCAAGAGCACATCCCCCCCCTCTATATACATCCCATACTTATATAGTCTGATAAAACTCAGTGATTCTGTTTTAAGTAACTAACATCAACTACCTGCACTATAGCATGTACAAATGCAAAGTTCCTTCCCATGAGAAAAGAGTATCACTGATCCATGTACTTTTTGCTAATTTGGAAGTTGTTTTATCATTGCGTATTTTAAAAAAATACCAAACTAGAGTATGCTAAATTATTGAACAGTTTTCATTGCATTAGAATAAAAACATCACTAATTTTGTTTTTACTTTTGATTTCTGTGAGGCAGGAGCTGAAGGGAAATAGAATTCACAGAAAGACAAACACAGAAAGATCAGACTCAAGTTAACACCGTTCATTCCATTCAAGTTTTGTCAGGTATCAAACAGCCTTTCTGCTGCTACTAAAGAATTACATACCTGGTAGTTGTAGGCTGGCTGATATCCTACAGGAACTTGCTGCTGTATCAATAAAGCTGGCGAACTGTATGGATATGTCTGCAAATAAAGCTTTTTTTTAAAAATGCAAGTTTGAAGCAAGATAAAAGTATGGTATCTGTAAAGGTATTTATAAAGCCAGGAGAGCGTTTTTAGAAATATGTAGTCACATTGTTACTTCAATTCCTGTTTCAGACTAGCTTCATTATTTAAAAGCAACCCTTACAGATTTCCCTTGGGGTTTCAGCACTTCAGGCACTAAAAATCTCAAGAAAGTGGGATTCTAAAGTGTATTACATATCTAAAAATACCACGTCTGCTTGTAGCTGATCTTTTTAGTCATTTCAGAAGTACAACTCATCCCATAAACTTTCTAAAGTAGACCTGAAACAGACCAACTACCATGAAATAATGGACTACAGCCTGGAGATCAGCTTCTTGGAGCCAAAGGCAAGCTAAGTATTACAATTCAGACAATTTCCCAGCATTTCTTCACTGCAAGTATTTTAATACAGTGTTAACCTGGAACCTTCTCAGCTTCTTCAGAGAATAGCTAAAGGCACATTCCAGCATTTAAGAGAATTAGTTCCTCCTACACTATTTCACTCTCCCAATAAACTTAGAGAATCAGCAAGAGTGCTACTGTCAAGCTCTCTGCCTTAGCAAAAAATATTTTTGCGAGTCACTGCAGTTTGCTCATCATCTTTTGCTTAAGAAAATATACAAAACAGAATCAGTTTGCAATTAATATTGCCCTGTTGTATTGCTATATCATATAGGGTTAATACAGGAAGAGACCATAATCTGGAAAGCCTTCTATTCACAGTACAGGACTCATTAACAAGGCCAGAAGTACCCTACCTACACCTCAGTAAGAATGCTTATCTGAAGTACCAATAAAGTGATGTCCTGTAGCCATACTGTACTGGTCCCAGCTGTTAACAGCAGATGCCGTAACAGTGTTCTTAAAAAGAAGTCCACAGCCAACTTCTGGTTCCATACTTGTTTAAAAAAATACATTTTAAAGTTTGTGGTTTATTCTGAGGCAGGGCAGCAGTACATTAAATATCCAGATGCATTTGATTTGTGAAGTGCATCTGTGACAAGTAACAAGACCACTTAAGAACTGTTATATGATTAAATCTTAGCTCCACCTCCAACAGTTTTCTCGTTCTCAAAATAAGAAGTATCTTCCCATCTTTTGTTTTATAAAGAGATCGCATCACTGAATAATTTTTTCAGGGTCGTTGGCATTCTTTTATGTGGTTTTAAGTTGGGCGTTTCTTATTGGGGAAGGTAATATGAAAACAAGTGGGTAAGATAAGACTGGAATCTCAATACATATTCCTGAAGTTGTATGTGCTTGCACCTTCAAAAATATTATGATGCAAAATCAGTGGCATGAACAGCCTTACCTGAACATACTGTGTTACTGGGCTCATTACAGCTGGAGGCTGCATGTATGTCTCTGTATTTTGATTACCCCATACACTATGGAACTGTGGTGCAGGAGGATTGAAGACTAATGGTCTGGGATGCACATAAGAACCTTGTTTTAAAGCAAAGAAAAATAAAGCATTAAGACATTTTCACATGTATTTCATTAATAATCTGAATTCAAGCTGCAAAAAACCTTAAGCGTTTTGACTCAAATTCAACTCAACATTAACTGTATTGTGCTACCAACCTGAGTTTTATTATTAAATCTGTGCAACACCACTGAAGTAGTGAGGTCATAAAATTCAGAACTGAATTGTAATATACATATTACATCAGATAAAAAGGATTTACAAGGATGTTAATGTAGAATTAAGAAAAAAACCAAAATTTTTAATATACTTGCAATATGAACAAATTTGTTTATGTATACTTACACAAGTTTTGTTGCTTTCTAATCGCTGGCCCCAGTTTCAGCTTTTTGCCATGGAAGTTGATTTGTGACTGAAAGACAGGTTATTTTGTAAGCTGCGGAATCAGCAAGTGGGTGGTTTGTTTCATTTTAAAGAGACTGTACTCTGCTTCTACACCACAGTATCATCAACTTGCATACAGGCTCAACAGCCTCCATTCTAATTCTCCCACCTCAACTTATGCCTTTTACCTTTAATTTCCTGCAATGCTCTCAGCACACTCATTTCCCTACTCACCGACTCTCCAAACCTATTATATATCACTTGCCTTAATAGCAGCATACACTACTAGTAGTTTGCAACTACCTACTAGTGACTGTCAGCCTTCTGCTTTTATATACACAGATTCGAACTATTCCTGCCTCAGTAAGGATATTAATGCAGAGTGACCATAGTATAGGTTCCCTTGAAACCCTGTTTACATCACCACTTACCTTCCTTCCCACAAACTTCCTAACAGGCTTCATGTAATATGTTAGAAGCTGTCCACCCAATATTAAAGGAAATGGAAGGCTGTCTAAGCACTACTGTTTACCTGCATGTTACTGTATTCTCTCTAGAGAGATTTTCACATGCGCTCCTTTGGGACATCCAGCAAACATGATATTTCACAACTTTTTTGGCCAAAGCATCTATGCAGCACAGACTATAAAGAAAGAGCAAAACTGAAATACGGTTCACATGCTCCTCAAATACCCCAAACCCAGGAATACAAGCATCTGACAGACTTGCAAAACAGGGCTGGAAGCACTCCTCAGTGCTCAGCAAATGCCCGAGAACACATGTAACTTCTCATTCTGCAAGTTGTGCCCAAATGCTAGTTCACACAGAAGACAGGATTTCAGACTTCCAATGATCAATGATTGAGTACTGCTTTGCCAGCACAGTATCTGGGGCCATAACAAAAGCACAGGAAGAATTCCAAGCACCCTCCCTCCCTGCAGAAGTTGAATTATGTGTTCTTCAGCAAAACTGCTTAGTTTGAAAAACTAGAACATTCACCGACGGATGTAGGCTGAAATGGCACCACAACATCCTTACACTTCAAGGTCTATTTGGACTGACTGTAGGAGAGGGCCTGTAAGATTTTGTTCTCTGCAAGATTACAGTTTAAGTCTAGAGTATAGAAAGTCACTTTAATACATGGATTTAAGTAGATTAATGTTTATTCAGGTACTCAAGAACTTCTCCACACAAAACTTCCAAAAGCGAATTCACCTTTGGGTCTGATCTCACATTCTCTGCCATGATGGTGACAAGAAACTTGTTTACCCACCTATGAAGATGTGCATAGCACACATGACACTACCTGAAGTAAGTACTCTGTTACAGTTCAGAGGGCTGCATTGAGGTTTACAAATGCTTTACACATCAGAAGTGGAAGATTTGTTTTACTCCCATTAATACAAATTTAGTACCAAGTATTAAAATCACTATTAGAAATCTAAATAGACTACATAATCTGCATCTATCTCATGGAACACTAAAAACTTGCCTGCTTCAGAAGGAAATAGGCAGTTTGCAATTTTGACAGACACCTCACCAAGCTTTTCCTCCCATTTCTGCTAAAGTACTTTGAACAGGTAACAGCAACTTTATTGTTGATTGTAAAAATAAGCAAAATAAACAGAACAGTGATACAGAAAAAGTCTTGTAATTTGTTCATCTTCTCATACTGATAAAAATAGGATCAAGTAAGATATATTGGGGGGTTTTGGGGGTTTTGTTTTTTTTTTTCTCCAATTGATCCTACAGTCCTGTTGTGCTCAGAACCATGCAAAACCACCTTTTCCACTTGAGCAACCAAGAGCTCTTCGAAGACAGGCCTCCCCTCAAAGCAGAAGGTAGCTTTCTGCTCTGAACTGCAAACAGTTTCACTCTGGACCAGAGTGCAGTTACAAATGGAATCAGACCTAAATCAGAAGAAAAATACTTTCAGATTGCACAAAGCTACAGAGCTAGGCCGACAAGCACTGGCATCTAGAGTGATTCTAACTACCCAGAGGCTCTATCTTGTTATTTACATAAAACATTGTGACCACTCAGTACAGATAACGCCTGAAATGGTTTAGCGAGGTGATCTCTGCTTATGACAAGCTCTAAAATGCAGATGTTCATCCTTTCCCTCTTTCCATCCCCTCTAGAAGCTAACAGCTTTGTAAGATGATTTCTAGCTGGACATGATTCTTCCTGACAAGACAGTAATTTGTACTGCCTGTACACCTGGAATTTGCACTGAAAAGAAAGTCTGCCATATACCTCTGGGTCTTCCAAGACCTCTGGTGTACAAAGTCACATCAGCAAGTACTATAGAGATACACTGCGGGCTTTTAGTTTTGAAGAAATGCACACAGAAAGTCAGCAATATACATGGCTCAAATGACAATGCTACTCAAGAGCTCTCTACAGAGATTGCTGCTTCAGAGCAAGCATTCCACACTGATCTAGTACAATAAATGTAACCCATGGTAAAAAACATTCTCAGATAAAGTCTGTTGCTCAATACGGCAGTATTTTTGTCAGCATACCATGAGAGTTAGAGAACAGCAAGCTTCTGAAGTCTTTTCATGAGAATCAAGAATCTCCTGCTGGAGATTGACTGCTCTCCACTTTGTTCAAAGATGTTCTCTTCCCCCTTAAGGAGCTGGACAGCCAGTAAACACATCTGAACATATCACAAAACACTAAATTTGTGCCTGGCACATTCATCTGTATTTGTCTTACAGACCTATTTTCCTGAGAGCTTCAGAAGCAAATGAGAGACTGTTCATCCTCCGGAGACACGGGAGTTTTCTGAGGCAAAGACTTCAGATAGGGAAATATTTCAATACATGTTTATTTTCACAGTTATTGCACTGAGTTTTGGTAGAAAGAGGGAAAACAAAAAGCTTTGTCAGTGGTTTGTGACCCGCTGAAGTCTACCAAAGCCAAATAACAGATTTTGTCATAAGCGTTAAGATTTAAAACTTCTCTGATACTGAACTCTAAGAGCAGAAGGGCTGTACCAGTTCTACCCCTTTATCTTCTGTGTGAGCTACAGGAAAACCATGACATGAACAGTTGCATCTTGTAGTCAAGGAGGCTTAAAAAATACTTGCACTCCAGGTAACGTCCAAATGCACAAAAACTGCAAGAAAGAAACACATACTTCAACTGCTGAGACTTAAGTAAAAAACTAATGCCGTTTTCTGTTATTATTACTGTTATTCCCAGTAATAATGCTGACAGGTCTATGTATCTACCATAAGCACAAGGGTTCTATGACAATCATCCAATACAGAAAGCAAACAGCCAAAAACACACATGAAGCTTTCCAGCACATAAATGAATGAGAACAACCAGAAATACAGTGACGTGAGATGTTCAAGCACACCAAGGCTACAACTAATTTTGTTTCTTTAAGTAAATACACAAAGATTCTACCACCAGTAGATATTTTAGCAAGTTTATTTTTTGGGCAGCCCTAGACTTTCCTCATCCTAATTTACTCTACAGGCTACATAACTTTGTTTCCCCTGAACATGTCTCTAGCCTTCATGTATCAACTTCTTCAGATAATTTCAACAAAGAGCTTACTTCTACTATTTTTTGAACATCCACGTTGTCCAGGAAAGATACAAATCCATACCTGAAAAGAAAGAACAGGTTATTCAATAGCCATTTTTTGATTTGTTTGTTAGCTAAATTATTTTGAACAGGCCAGTTAACAGCATATATGCCATGTACATTATTATTGCATGCTAAAAGTATCAACTAGGACATTAGTTTGTAATTCAGCATGAAAATGTATTTACTGCTACCTAGCAGCATATACTGCTGGGCCAGATGAAAGGAATTGAATGCCAGATTCTAGAGTAACATGAAATAGATGTAAGGGCTATTCCATTTCAGCTACTTAAAATGAGCACTATTGTCAATATTACTAACTGAGAAAGTAAAAACATCTTTTAAGTATTAAGACCCAAATTATCATCAAATTTTGTATTTACTACAGAGGTTTGGATGAAAGCAGGCATTACAGAAACGGTGATACCAGTGGGGGAAGTGATTCTTGAAGAGGTTTTTCAATTTATTTCACTGCCCCCCTAGTTTATTTAGTCTATAAAATGAAGGTAATTTCAGAGCATTATAGGAACAGTTGTGTCAATCAATGGAGTATGCCAATTCATTATCAATACTCAGAACATACACTGGCTAACTGCACATCAGAATTCACCATGAAGACTAGCAAAGGATATGAGGAAATAAAACAGCTTTCCAGCTCATGCATTATTATATATGCCTAAGAAAACATGACTCTTAGGATCTGCTCACAGAATCTCAGAAAAAATTGGGCTGGAAGGAACCTCCAGAAGGTGAAGCCTCCTTCTCAAAGCAGGGATGGCTTCAAAACTGGGAGAGTTTCCCCAGAACTCAACAAGCTAAGGTCCTACGCATTCTAATTTAAGTGTTTCACCACAGACAATTCAGAATTCTTCTATATATCAAATAGGAATTTCCTTTGCTTCAACTTCGTTCACTTACTTAGTTTCACTATTCACTCAAACAAGTTTGGTTGTTTTCTCTATAACTTATCCCTGAGTGTCAGAAGAGTACAGTCCCATTCCCCTGAATAAACCATCTACCCCTTCTCTTAACCATCCTCAACTCTCTCCAGATTGTTAACTACTCTAGCCATCAGAAGAGTCCTACAAAAGAACTGTCTGCATAAACATCACACAAGTTTCAAGCTTTGCTTCCACTGGTTAAGTGACAATAACCCTCTTTTCCCTGAACAGATACACTGAAGTCAGAAAAATCAGGCTATTCTTTACAAGATTATATAGATTTAGGGGCAATCTAGATTTACAGGTTTCACAGTGTTAATTCACCACAACAGGAAACTTCAGCTAGTGTTAAGGCTTAAGCATGTCAAGTGTGCTGCTAAGTAGCTGCTCATATCAGCTATGACAGAATTATGTCCACGTAAGCAGCAACTTAAAACAACTATTCATGTTCTACTCACCCTTTGGAAACACCAGTTCTGTCAGTGATTATTTTCACCTCTTTCACAGTACCGTATCGTTCAAAGAAACTCCGAATTTCTGCTTCATTCATCTAAAAGAAACAAAATCTTAAACTTCTTCAGACACATTCAACTATTCAGAACTGATTTAAAGCAGCCAGTACCATTTTTTAAACCCATCTTCTACTACTATAAGAACTAAAGTTACTCACCTGTCCCAAAATTCTCTCCTGACACTGCAATACCTTAAGATTGTAAAGACACACATTAAAAAAACCACCCAGGAGTCAAATTCCCATTTTCTTCCCACTGAAGTGCCCTATACCTATCTTAAACAATTAAAAGTATATAAATACCCTTATATCAATTCCACCAACAAAGACTGTGTTTGGCATGATTTTTCCTTCTGGTAAAACATATCCTTGACTGGTTGTTGACAAACGGGTATTATCCTCCAAGACACCTGCACACTGGGCCTCCACATTTGCAGACTGAAAAATTTAAACAGAAATACATATTTCAGTCAAATTATTATAGTTCACTTTAACATACTAGAATGCCTGCATCCTCCTATAGATATAGCATGGGACAATGAATTTCAATAGCACCTTTCCAATTCCTTAAAGGATGTACTCACTGCAAATAGACCACTCATTGGAAAAAAGTTAAAGTAATTATTCTAAGCAGCTTTAATAATTTAAATCTAAACCTAACCTAGACTACTTTAAGTAGCCCTGTCTGACTATATGAAGCTTCATGACCAGTGCTACTACTACCAAACACAGTGAGAATGCCAAAATAACTCATTTTCAAACTTTACGAAATTCCTTTCAGATGTAAGCAAGACATTAAATTCTTTAAAGATACAATTTACTGTAAATTGATTATCCAACAGAAAAAATTCCATCATTTTCCTGGTCAAAAGCTTTAAATACTTGAGATGTGAGTAAGCTTACGAACAGCCTTACAGCACAGGTAACAGGGTTATACTATAAGTTAGCTGTAAGAAGGGAAATCAGACCTTAATGGAATATTCACACTATTCATTTTCTCAGAAAAAAAGACTTTGTCAACTACAACAGGAATATGAACGACTACAAACTTGTTTCCGAGTTATCTGCACCAAAGCAGGATCTTAAGCATGCACTACACGTACAGAACAACTGCAAAGAATGTTAAGATTATAGAGCAACTACAGTCATGATGTGCTTTGTACACCCAGGCTTCAGACGCACCCTTTTGGTCCTAAAGCATTTTGTCACAGCCTAGGAGTTATGGATTCATTCAGTGCAGAGGAAGATACGATGCTCCCTAAACAAACAGTAATTCAGTATTTTGTTCAAATGAACAGACCACATGCAATTCCATTTCTTGTTACTGATGCTAGCAAAGATGTGTTCCATACTCTGCATAAGGTTTGAAGTGTTTTACAAAGGTATTTACAAGAACTAAAACACAACATAAGCACCATGGGCATGGCAAACTCTAGCCCCTCTCATCTTCTGCCCTCCTGAATGAATGGTTCCAGCTGTGTGCCATGCTTTGCCTGGCTGGTAAGAACAAACTCTGACCAGTTCAGTGTTACTCATCCCTCTATATTAATGTACTCTGAAACATTAATAAGCTTTTCCTCACAATTCCACTGGTGTGGCATTATCCCTACTTCAGATACTCCAAACTTTGATTTAGTCAAAGTTATCTGGTATTTTGAAACCTAGTAATTTGCAATAGGTAGCATCCAATTTTTCAATGTAACAATTTCCATGTTTAATGCACATTTAAAACTGCAGCTATGAGTGACAAGTACTCATTCAAACTGGACACCCAGTAAGGGAATAAGAAAATTACAAGAACCAAACTATACATGTGGCACATGATTTGCCCAGCAATTATACAAAGCCAAAACTAGAATACAGCCCTCCAAATATGATTTCAGTATGACCGAACCAAATTAACAACACACCATTACTAAAAGCCAGAGAAGGTTTGCCCCATCTCTTTTCCCACACCACTTCTGCACAAGTTCTAATACTTGTCAGTTCAATTAAGCTGGCTCAACAAAATCTGGCAGGAAGGTTAACATAAAATGAGCAGTTTTTCACCCAGTTAGTATTCTGCTACTGTAGCAGAATTGAATCAGCTTAGCATGCTATCAGACAGGCACCAGATCCACCTCAGGATCAGTGGATGCAGAAGAGGAAATGGAGATGGGGAGGCTTAGCCTCCTGAGAACCACTAAGCCATCAATTCTGTTCAAAACCATTTCATGAAGCTATACCTCAGACAGAATCTGGTTCCATCAAACCAGATACTCTTGCCTATCATCAATTTACTCACTGACTATGAGTAAATGCAAATTCTCAATAAAAGTTGCAAGTCAATCCTTTCCCTTTATCCTCTAAGAACTCCCTCTACCCTCCAGTGAAGTTGGGAGACTGCAACTTCCACTGTTCCACAGTAATAGAGATTGTGTAATAGAACATTTCTGCTGTAAACAGAAAAGGGGTAGTTATCCCCCTTCCCTCCCCTTGTACCACGACAGCTCTTTATATCACTGTGCAAGGAAATAAATCCTATGTTTCACAGGAGAAAAATTTTGTAGTACTTTTCAGATACACCCACTTCTGATCCAAGCTCATTTGGCAGTTACATAAACACTTGTGCTAACATAAGAACACAACAAGGGCAAAAACAAAGAAAGAGGTGAGGAAACCACTTCTTTGGCTGCACCCCCCAGCTAGAGGGCATTTGAACTGAAATCTGAGACTGCAACTCCACAGCAACCTTAAACTGACCTAACTGTTGCCTCCTACTTCTTTCTTTCTGGATCTGTTTCAGCAAACCAGGTTAAAGAGAAGTATTCACTTTGCTGTGCAAATTCTCTGGCAACCTAGAACAGGAAACAGCTCACAGCAGAGGCACCCACCAAGTGCCAGAACCAGCACAAGGAAGTGGGTAGGCATACAGATACTGCTGGTACACAAGTCATAGATGGCCTTGGCTGCCATGGAAGTGCAGCATTCATTTCTCATGCTAATGATGCAGAAAACAATTTTCAATGAAAACACTTATTTAATGCTTTTACACATTAAGTATCTAAAAGAAAGAGTAAACATCCTGATTAGGCATTCTGACAAATTGGTCAACATCAAAAATAAGCTTTACGATCTGTTAATACATGTATTTCTTAGAACTTGAAGAGCAGCTGTTGTTGAAAAATGCACAGTGGTAAAAGTCTTACAGTATGAAGACAGGAAACAAAATCTCCTCCTTTCAAAGTTACTTTTCAAGTCTTCAGTACTGCAATGCAAAACTTTTGCCCTATCTAAAACCAAGTTATTTTACCAGCATAATGCGTAATTGTTATTTTACTACCTAATGTAGCATTATGTAAACAATTGTGTACTTCTACATACAGTATGGGCAAAGAACTTGCACTGCCGCTGAATCAGTGTCCAAAGCCTAAGCCACCTAAAGTTTTCAAGATCCAGAAAATCCTTAAGTTGAAGAATTGGCTACCCTGAAATTATAGCATCAGCAGCAGTGACCCAACCCTTCAAAAATACCCTGAGTGGGGTGGATTTTTCTATCCATCTCAAAGTATCTTTGAAATCAAAATTCTAGATATCAGGAAACTTAGGGCCTATTCAAACTTTTTCAGCTTACTGAAATTAACAGGGTTTTTTTCCCTTTCTCTCATCACAAGGTAAACTTAATCAGTTTGCTCTTTCCGTTATTCCAGCAAGCATGAAGTTTAAGATGATGCTAGGAAAAAAAAGGGGAAGGCCTACCGTTAGGGCCAGGTGGTGGAAATACCTAGCTACTCAAGTGGGTATCAGTCTTATGCACATCTAGGAAATGAAAACCTTCACTTTTCTTTCGGCTTTCGGCGCACAAGTCCCTACAGTAGTCATAAGGCTAGTTAAGACTTTTGGCAAAAAAAAAAAGTGGAAAGGACTACCGTTAGGGCCAGGTGGTGGAAATACCTAGCTACTCAAGTGGGTTACAAACATCAGTCTTATGCACATCTAGGAAATGAAAACCTTCACTTTTCTTTCGGCCACATAAGCACAAGTCCCCTATTTCGTAGGCTTCTCCCTGTCTTTCCCTGACCTCACACACAAAGATGTTTAAAATAAGTATAAAACATTTTCTTTTTTAAACATTTAAAACTCCTGATACATGTCCTGCTGCGCAGACTTTCTGTGCGCAGGAATCGGTTACCGTGACAGCACACTACCTGAAGAAAGAACATGGCTCCCGCTACAGGGAGATGTAGTCTTCCCATTAGGCAGCAGGTGGAGCTATCAGTCAAGTACTGTAATACGCTCGCGCGCTAACGGCTGCCACTTACAAGGCTTAACTTTAAAAAAAAAATTCCTACTTTTATATTGTTGTTGAAGTGTCTGGGTTACAGTCGCAAATTCCATTTTTCAAATAAAAAATTCCGGAAGAAACAACAACTTGCATGTTGAAGAAGCAACGCGCGAGTCCGGGCAGTAACTCCCACCGACCACATGGAGTCCACAGCGGACTACGCGAAGGCTGTTTTTTTTCTGGTAGGTAAAGACGACAAAGGGGGAACCTCAGGCGGGCGCGTTACGGAACCGGGGGGGCCCGCCGCTCCGCTCGTGCCGCCGCCAACGGCGGCCATTTAACGTCCTGCGGGCTTCGCACCTCGCCTAACGGCCTCGTTACCAGACGAGGCGCGCGGGAAGAGGATTTCACGCCCCTTAAGAGATCTGGGGGCATGGGGAGGGCAAAAGGGGAGGCGCCCCTGAGGACAATGGAAGCTGTTTGAAAGCCCCCGACGCCCGGGGCAAGGGTTCCAGTCTAACCCTAAAGGCAAACTGGAGGCAGACGGAGCCGACCGGCGCTGCCCGCCTGGCCTCGGCCTGCGGGGGCAGGCGGAGAAGCGCCCGGTCAGGCCATGCGCAGAGCGTAAAGAGCCCGGCGGTGCGGCAGGGCGCCATGTGGCAGGGCCGCCACAAAAAGGACCGTCATGGTGTGGCGGAGCGCCTCCTGTCGCGAAGTCCTCACCAGACCATGGCGCCGACGGCTGCGAGCCATGACACTTTGCCCCACAGAAGCTCCAGGCTTTTTACTTGCCGTATTCCCTCCCTGACCTTAATCCCGCACCTCCTCTTAAGACTTTAAAACCTTCAAGGCATTAAAGATGGCAGTAACCCTCAGGGGTTCAGCCCAGGCAGCGGCGCACCCCTCACTGTGTAACAAGGCGACGCTACCGCGGCTGTGGGCATCCCCGTTCCTCACCTTAAGAACAAAAAAAGCTAATGCTCAACTCTCACCTCCGCTCCCCGCGGGAGGACCCGAGCAAGCCACTACAGCCCCCAGCAAAAAGCCGCCCCACGGCTCAGCGTTCAAGAGCACCCCTTCACCCCGCTTCCCACCGTGCCGACCACGGCTCCCCTTTCGTCCCTCCTCCTCCACTCACCATCATTCACTGAAGCAGAGGCAGCGCCCACACACTTAAAAATAAACGAGGACTTTAAAACAAAAACAATACGAACTTTTCTGAGAAAACAAACATCAGACAGTCCTCTCTTTTTTTTTTCTTTTTCTTTTTTTCTTTTTTTTTTTAAAGGTGGAGAAAGGCAGTTCCGCTTCCCTTACCGCCTTATCCTAAAGTAGCCCCAAGTGGGAAGGGGCGGGGAAAGGCCACACCCGCCCTCGCCGCCCTCTCACAGCCGGCACCGGCGCGGGCTAAGGGGCTGCACCGGCGCGGTCTAAGGGGCTTTCTGGGGGCTCCCCCCCTCCCGCCTTTCACGGGTCAGCTCTTGTGTTGTCTGTGTTTTCGGAGAGTGTCTGTAGACAAAGGGTGAAGGGTACCGTAGCTTTTCTCTTTGTTAGGAGATTAGGTGGGACTATTATTTGTGGCCTTGTTGAGCGGGACGTTGCTGTTGAGTGCGTGTGGTAGCAGTACGCTCTTGTCATTTTGACATGAGCTAGCACTTGGTTTGTTGAGGTTTGAGAGTGGTGTATTGTTGAGGCTTTCACTCACTTTTGAGACAAAAGCTGAAGCTTTTTCATCAATGTTTTCATGAACCAATGTTATATAGCTGTTCTAGAGCGAGCTGTTTCCATCACATCTCTTACTGCCTGTACTGAAAACCGAGCTGCTGTCTGTTCACCAGTTGCCCAAGACCTTTCTAGAAGGAAATCTCTCCAGAAGCCCTTCTGGTTCTACAGTAATAAGATGCTTCTACTGTGTTTTGGAAATTAGTTTTAAATAGTTGTTTGTCACTGGTATCAAATGTTCAGAACAGATACAGATTTTAGAAAGTTTCAGGGAGAGGGGAAACTTATGGATACCTCACCGAAATAAACCCAATCTCTGACTGGGCTAGTTTAGTAAGTTTTTTGGTTTATGTGGGGTTTTTTAATGGCAAAAGCATAAGAATGATACTTGTTTAGGATGAAAAATGGAAGTACAAAGCTAACCTGATAAACTGAAGTGTATATAACAAGTAAGCTATTTTTTCCTACGAGATTTTATTTCTTCTAATGCATAGATATTTTTTTAACAATGTACCAAGTGTTCACCTTTTTCACATGCTGATAGTAATAATCAAAAGTAGACTGCTGCACTAGATATACATGGACCCTGAGTTGGTTTAGGTAGTAGCAATAACAAAGTCCTGATCATGGTAGATGTATTTATGTTAACTATAGGAGGGATTTTGTTAAAGCTAGTGGGGTTGCTGTGTTATCTAAGGGTGAGCATATGCATGGGCTTTCATGCAACTAATGCCTGTTTACTTAAATAAAAGAGATCCGCTACAATACCGTATGAGATCTTTTTAATTTTTACTTGAAATAGCTGAAACCTTGAAAATGTGGTCCAACAACGAAGGGAAAATATTACATAGTATCTTCTTCAATAAAATGGATTCATATTTGGCCTTAAGAGTGGCAACAGGTTAGTACCACTATTTCTTAAGTGCAAAAAGCATAATTCTCCTTTTAATAACTCCTGAAACTAAAACTAGTCTTAATACTCCAAAATAGAGCAGAAGCCAGATTGGGGGGGGGCGTGGTGGCGTGGTTTTTTACCTTCTTTACTCCTCTTTTATGGCCCTAACTGGAAGTATTCTGAAGGATGTCCTGTTTGCTATTAAATGGAAGATAACTGTCCTGGAAGTGAAAATACAAATACTGTTCCAAGAAAAAGAATTCTTTACCTTTTATCATGGAAATGGTGAATATTGTCCTCTTCTAGCAAAACTAGTATAATTCCAATGTAAAAGCAGAGTAGTGTAGCTGCTATAAAAAAGCAACCCTTACCAAGGCATTACAGATTCTAGTTTTGTGAGGCTATCCTGCTGAGCTTCTGTGGACTGGGTTTGGGTCAGGATTGTGTCCTGTTTTTCCTTGAACTCGGTATTAGCTTCTAAAATTGGAGAATACCTGTTGCTTAAAACAAAGGAGAAAGTAATTTATTTTCTGCTGCCAATACACAAATGTCAAAAGAGGTGGAGGGAGTGGAGTAGGAAATTATTCTCTTGGGTTTTTTTATTAATATTGCTACTGGAAGGGTTATTGCTCAATAGTTTTATTTGTTAAATGCACTAAGTAGCAGCAGAAGAAGCAGATTTTATGTTCTGCTATACCATACAGTACTTTTCACTTTAATACACATTTAAAATAAAAAACTGAGTATCTTAGCCAAATTGCGTTCTCCTGGAATCTTATGATTTTAAGTAATCTAGAACCTATGATCAGTTATTGTGATTGTCTCAATGTTACCATAAAGATGAACAGGGCTTGGCTTTCTGTGTTTAGGTTGTTTGCCTTTTTTTTTTTTTTTTTTTAAATTAGAGTTACTGGTAAATCAGAATAATTCAGGGAGTGCCTCTGGTTTGGGATCTGATAGGCTGCAGTGGGTGAGGATTCTACAAAAAAATCTGATGAAAAGTTATCAATCTGAATACAAATAGTAGTGGTTACATATTACAATTTAATAGTCAGAAGTACGTATTTTAAAGATCAGGTTAGATTTAGTCTTCCTAGATGTAGAACTAAAACTGGATAGCAAGAGTATCATACAGCATTTGAATTTTAATAGCGTTTCTTTGAACCCTTCTGCCGTTTTGGGATTTTTTCTTGAGAATCATGTTAAGTCTCTGTAAAGCTAAAGCAGCTAACTGCTCTTAGGAAATAATGTGAACATGAAAAGAAGGACATAAAAGAGATATTCAAGCTATTAGATTAAGAACATTCTATTCTTCTAAGAATAGAAGAAGGTTCTAATTTTTAGACAGCTAGGCAAGCTTGCTTAAGAACAAGATGCTGAGTTGCCAAATAGGATTTGAATGTCTGTTTTCCGAGTTTCCTATTTTGTACTGAAGAGAGAATGCCCCATGCATTTTGCAGCAGTCAGCTTTAAAGGATCATGCTGTATCTAGTTAAATTTTGGACATTTCCTTTACTGCTGTTTGCATCGGGGTAGCTATTTAAGGGGATATACCATAATGTTGTGATGAACATCTGTGTTTAAAAAAAAAAAAATCACATGCTGTTATAATTTGCATTGAAATCACTAGCCGTTCCCATTGGGTTCAGTAAGCAAAACAGAATCTGTGTTCTTACTGACATGGTAAAATCCTTTGAAATGTAGTGGATCATTTGGTGACTGATTCCCCCCCCAACTCCCTAAGAAGTAATGGAACACAAATAACATTTAAAAAAACCACAGTGAATTTCTGCATGTATAAAATTCCAATAAAATTACCTTTTTTTCCTTGACTTGGATGGAAACCAGAATATTATTTTGAACATTAATCCATTGACTTAATGTTCAGTAGTGGAATTCCTTTGGGAGCTTATTTTTCTAGAAATGGCATTATTTTAGAACACTTTAATTAGTCTGATAATAAATTTAACTCAATACAATATACAGGCAATAATTCAGTGAAAACGCCTAAGTCGTACATACTTGAGTTACCCATAATCTAAGCCGGGACAATGCTGAAATCATTGTCTGAGATTGTTCTGTGTTCAAGGTTATATTTAACACTACCAATTCATTGTGATTAGCCTTTAGGCATTTAAATTCTGACTAGTTCATTAAATTTCAACCTGAATAACTTTACCACTATAGGAAAGCTGATACACGCTTTAGTTTGTACTATGGCATGTGGCATGACTGAAAAATTTTAATATATTGTACAGATATGTAATATTCTTCATCCAAGCATTTTACAAGAATGAATTATACAAGTACATAGGAACTTACAAAAATGGCTATATATGGTTCAGATCAAAAGTCCCTCCAGTTCAGTATCTTTGTTCATTGAGGTGTGGAGTGATTTTTCTTGTATTTTCTCCTTGTGCTTGGCAACCTCAAAAGCATTTCTTGAGGCCCCTTCATCACTGTATTTGATAATACTTGATGATTTTTCCTGTAAATTTCTCTGGTCACTTTTTGAACTCAATTGATGCTTAGGCCTGCACAACGGAGTTTGGCACTGAGTGCCACAAGGCAAATAGGCATTGTTTGGAAAAAGTACTTGTTTGCTTAAGCTTTTCTCCTGATAATTTAATTAGAGCCATCTCATTCATGACTTAACAGCGAACGTTTGTCCTTTTGTCACATTTTGGTGCCATTCATGATTTTATGGCCTTTGTCATAGC